TACAGTGGAGAAGAAGAAAAAAGACAGGAAAAACAGAGGAAAATTGTGGAGAAATCGCAGAATGGGGGGGGGACGGGCGAACCGAGGGGAAGAAGGCTGCATGCAGCCTTATCCGGACCGATACCGGTCTGAAAAAAACTGTAGTGGGACCCAACGTCCAATCAATTCAGAGATATTGTCAAATGGATATATACAGACCGAAACTGGTCCGTATATATTTACTTAAATAATATTTTTTTCATATTTTTTGGTATTTAATATTTATTTTTTTCAGAAATAATATTTGGACCAAAAACGGTCTGAATATTATTGGCGCGTCTACACTGTGACTCCCGCCAGAAATATACGGACCGATACCGGTCCGAATATGTTCATCAGTATATTTTCCCCAACCGAAATATATTCAGACCGATATTGGTTCGAATATTTATTTTTTCGGACCGACACGTGTCGGTCCGTATATGATCGGTCCGCATACGTCATTTTTCTAGTAGTGGGGGGAGAGTAGAAGATATCTCTCTTTGATTAAAAAAAAAAAAATTAGAGATGAAAGAAAAAGAAAGTTCTTAACTTTAGTTTTTCTTTTAATTAATTTATTTATTTAAATAAAGGGAGGAGAAAGAGAGGACTGAAATGGATATAACATTCCTCAATTCCCTTCAGCCCAATCATTATGTAAGGTTGGCGCAGCCCTTGTTTTGTTTGATTCGCAATTTCTGTGGGCGAACAAATGTGTCTCATCCATGAGAAGTGCATTCAAATCCCTATCCTTATATGTCAAACATTTATGTCAAGTAAAACACACAACCATCGGCTATTGGCTAAAGTGAGGCAATTGTAAACAAAAAAGATAGTGTCATCAGTCACATGCATCCCAATGTGTATTACTGTCATTTTACATCCATGTAGATAATTTCCTCTACATATTTCAACACTAAAAAAAAAAAAGAAAAGTGAAAATCAATATATTTTTAAATTCAAAATAAGCATTTTCAAGCTCAATCAAACAATGAATGTGACATGTAAAGGGTATTTGTTTTAAAAGTAAATTTTAAAATAGTAAATTTTTGTGGGAAGAAAATGAAAAAAATGGTTTTTAAAGTAGTTTTTAAAACAAGTTTTAAAGAAATTTGAATGTGAAATTTTCTTAAAATTTAATTAAAAGCAACTTTGAAAGTTATATTTTGAATTCTCCTAAAATAAATTTGTAAATTTGTGAAATAAAAATTTAGAAAAATGATTGATACCCTTTTGACACACTTTTTATTACTCCTTTATTTCAGCCATTAAAATATAAGTTAAATGTCAAATTTGGTTCCTCAACTTTACAATTTTATATAATTTTCGTCTCTCAACTTTTTATTGTACTTTTTTAGTTTCTCAACTATGAAAAATATATTTTGTTAGTTTTTCTACAATTAATTCATTAAGTTTATCTATATATACATATTTTTAGTCCCCAAACTTTTAAATTGATAAACAAAAAATGTGTATATATAATAAGTTGAGGGATTAAAAATTTAAGTTTAATATCAACTTTAGTCTTCAACTTTAGGGTTTTACACAATTTTCGTCCCTCAACATTAAGTCCCTCAACTATGAAAAATGTATTTTTTTAGTTTTTTTATCAGTTAATTTGTTAAGTTTAATCAAATATGTAAATTTTTTAATCCTTCAACTTATAATATATGCACATTTTTTATTTCTCAACTTAAAAGTTCAGAAACTAAAATTGTGCATATGTAGATAAACTTAATAGATTAAGGGTGCGTTAGGAATGTTATGAGGTGTTGTGGCTATAACTGTGGTTGTGCTGAATTATACTGTAGTTGTGGCTAAAAGTTATTTTAGTAGTTGGTTATTTATTTTTTAAAACTATTGTAGATGACATATAATAAATTTTATTAATTATTAATTAAAATTTTAAAAATATTATATGATAAATAATTACTAAAATAGACAATAGAAACTACTAAATAATTTAAGTTTCTTAGGTTTTTTATGATGGGTGTTCTGGTAGGTTTTGTGGGAGAGCAATTCATAAGGAGAGAGTAAGTTTTTAATTTTTTATGAAATTTTCAAATAAACAAGAGGTTGGGAGTGTGGTTGGGATTGCAATTTAGGGCTTTTTCTTAAAGTCATACAATACTTTTAGATTTATGTGTTTGGATTTTTTTTTTTTTTGACTACTTTTTCCAAAAACTGGAGAAAGCTACAGTAGATTCACTAAAATTTTATGTACAAAGACAAATGTACCATTTTGAAACATTTTGGATGTGATTTTCATAAATAATACTTAATATTTAATACAATTATAAAATTACCTATTAAAACTTAATTTCATTTAATTCAATTACACTATAATTTATAATATTTTATTTAAACTTAACATCTCATTTATTTGAAGATTTCATAAAAAAATAAAAAATTCATGTCCTTCTTATGAGTTGCTCTCTCGCAACATGCACCCATAAAAACACCCATCATAAGGAACCTAAAAGACCTAAAATATTAAGTAGTAAATGTTATTTATTTTAGTAATTATACATCATACAATATTTTTTAAATTTTAATTAATAATTAATAAAATTTATCATATTTCATTTATAATACTT